TGCGTCGTACGACGCTCTGCAACCAATCAGAAAACAGGATTCCGATGGATTTTGCTTGGTATCATCGGAATTCTGTTTTCTGATTGGTTGCGGAGCGTCGTACGACGCAAATCGGATGCAGTGTGAATCCAGCATTATTCCTCCTATTGTGCGCAGGGCTTTGCTATTGTTAAATCCGCTGAACACAGCCATATTGGTTTAGTTAGAGCCTGCGCACAATAGAGGAACAAGAATTAGATATTAAGATTTCAACCTATCAGAAACCGTGTATTCCGATGTAATCAATTTCTGATAGGTTAAAATCTTAATATCTAATTCCTATTCCTCTATTGTGCTTAGGCCCTTACAGAGCTACCAACGTCTAGAAGAAAAAAACGCTAATCCGGTTCAGAATACACGATACACCCTATGTTATTTACAAACAATTTACATTCTTTTACATCGACTTTGACACTTGCCGTTTATCTCGCTTACAAATTGCAATTGCAAATGAAGTTGTACATATTATGTGCGGGTGATTGTAAGCAATTATGCAGTGAAAATTTCACACAAGTACGCGCGAAATATATAAGCTCATAAATATATAAGTAAACGCGCGATGGGTGTAAGCTTTTTCTTTAGAGGATTTTTGCAAAGACTTTTTCATGTACACGCTGTGCAAATAAGTCTTTAAATAATGGCATTCTCGTTTCGAGCCGGCACTAATTGGTGCCATGATTTCCCCAAACTCGCCAGGGAATCAGGATTTTACTTTAATATGCATGGATCCAGAGTACGAGTTGACTGGAATCGCATAGGTAAGTCAGACGTTGTGACACAATCGAATATCAAGTTTATTATTGTAAATTATAATTTGTCTTTTTATTACAGGTGCTATAGATATAGACAGAGTTATACGGGAAAGAGATTTCTCAAGTATAGATCAAAACATTAACAATGTAATAGATTACTGCTTGGAGAGTGAATATGATGTCAAGATTTTGGACCCTAATTTTGTTAAGTTGTTCAGACTTGCACAACTGTCAGTTGAGTATTTATTGTATTGTAAACAGTATTTGGATCATAGTGTAATAATATTGAAGGATGAGCTGAGACAGAAGATCGAACAAAATATCAGTATGAAGAAAGAAATTGCTGCCTTGGAAGATACTGTAAAGAATCTAAAGGAGAGATCAAAAGAGAAACGTAAATTAATTGAGACTAACATCGGTGAAATCTCTAATGGAGAAGTTTACAAAGTAAATTTCAACAAATTTATTTGTTAGAAATAAGATGTGTTCTATTGATAAATGATATATTGACTTCTGTTGATTATAAATTATACTGCAAATATAGGTGACTTGGGACAGTGTAGATAACTTAGGATAGCATGTATTTTTGTTAAATTAAATCACGGTATCTATCCATGAATCTCTAAAGAAAGTTTAAAATTTAAACTTTTTTTAATGATTTATGGATGGATCCCATGATTAAATTTAACAAAAATACATGCTGTCCCAAGTTACCTACACTGTCCCAAGTCACCTACATTTACAGTATATTATAAATTGAAGTTATGAATTAATTACAATACTCTCAATCTAATCTAAAATCTAATTGCAAGGTTTCTTGTAGTGTCCACATTGCCCAAAAACATTTGTGCGTGCTATATTTGTAAATGCTCACATAGCACGCAAACATTCATACATATCAGACATGGGTGTATCCTCTTCTCCTGTGCATGACCATTACCGAGCAGAAACAGAGAAATTACACAACGAGATAAAAACATTGAAGGAAAGACTGAATCAAACTGAAAGAGTAATAAGGAATGAATCCGACAAACTGTTAGATAATTCAGAGAAGGATTATTCAAGAAACACAAATAAAAATGAGTATGATTTTAGCAGAGTAGATAGATTTCAAGAGCAAAGAAGATATCAAGAAGATATTGGAAGTTTGAAGAACATGCTCTTTGATGAGATACGTGTAAGTTCATAAATTAATTAGTGATTTATTCTATTTATAGAATTTCTTACAAATTACTTGGAATCTTTTTGCAGGCATTAAGAGAAAAAGATCACGTTGTAAATGAAAGTATTCTGGAGACAAATGTGAAAAGTCTAATTAGTCAACAAGAGAAAGAAATTGAGAATTTGAGAAATCAGCTTCATGAAAGAGTAAGAAATGATAGTCTTTATTGTACATTATTCTTATTAGGTATTAAACTATATTAGATTATTTTTTTAGTTGACTCCAGGCATGGAAAATATGCAAGTAAAGCTACAAACGCAAGAAAATCATTGGAAAGTCAAGATGGAAGATATGGAAACTCAACATCATCGGGATATTGAGAAATTAACGACAGAATTAAAAGCGACTCAGCAGATAGCTGATCGTATGAAGTCTGAGTATGCGTCTAAGGTACATGACTTGCAGAAACAGTCCATGGATCAAACCAACATGTTGGTAGAGCAAAGAAAACAATTAAACAGCTTGTCACGTGAGATCAGTAATTCGCAGACACAAATCAATAATCACAAAACTAGGGAAAAGAACGCAGCAGAATTCCATAAATCTGCTTTATTAATAAAACACGACAGCAACAATGAAAACAAAACTTATAAGAGTTTAAATAATACTGAAGATACGGAGATAGTCATTGAAGATGTTGGTAGTGAATCTAGTCAAGAATATAATGAAAAATTAATGTCAGTCGTAACACGAACCCAAAATATGCCTACTAAAGATAAAACTGTAAAGAGCAAGGGTAATAAGAAAGTTGTAACTAACAGCAGGACTGTAAAACATTTGATTACTCAATCTAATCTGAAAAAATTAGATAGATCAGAAGTTGTTAAAGAAACAAAAAATAGTGCTAGGCATTATGATAAGTTGGATGACATAAATGAAGTTAATGACCGCATAAATGAAAATTTTATTATCAAAGAAGATCCTATTGATGTAAATAAAAAATATGTAGATATTAGAGAAAAGAAAGAAACGTTACATATAGATAATATGAAAAACAAGAGATCCGAATTTTTAGAAAAGCGTAGTGTAAGTTCTGTAACAGAATCTGGTTCTTTGTCGTCGATGTCAGAATCAGGGACCGATAGTGAGAGTGTTACAACGGATGATGATTTAGTAAAAAAATGTAAAACGCCTACAATTAAACCTCCCAATGTTAGAAAAATATCGATTCTGGAAGATGCACAAATTATGTTTGATAATCGGTTAAGAGAATTAGGAATTGATCCAGAATGGCAAGGAATACCTGCGGCAACATATAAGCAAAAAATGGAGATTATAAGGCATCAGCAAAATATTAATGCAAAGAAATTAGTTCGGTATAATCAAATTAAACAAAAAATACTCGAAGATGTTCTTCAAAGAATATCAGCAAATCATAAAGAACCAAGATATTCTACGCTTACAAAAAATTTCCCTTTGGATAAACTTGTTACTCGCGTTAAATCAAAAGCATGGAAAGCATTCAGTAAAGACAATGGTAATTATATATTTTTTGCACTAAATCAATAATATACTGTGGACAGTTAATATAATATAATGTGTCTTTTGTTTTTTAGGCGAGTATACATCTATCCAGAAAGCAGAAAATACGACTCCATTAAAATTACGTTTAAAGCAGAAGATCGAGCTTCTTCCTAAAAAATACAAAGATGAGGTATATGAAAACACACGTGAATCACCATTGAAAAAAAATGGGGCGGATACTTACACCAGTCCAAAAGTGACTCCAGTATATTCAAAATCGATTCGAAGCATTTCCTCCGCAAGCTCTATTGAATCTCGAGAAGATATAAAACAGATTTCACCTACAAAGATAACTGTATCGGATATTGCAAGTAAAATGAATTCTCCCATCAGTAAGAAACAGGTGGTAACGCCAAAATTGTTTGAAAATAATGACTCGGACAGTACAATTATGCCAGACAATTCAGTTCTTTCTCCGAAAAATAAAAGTGTTTTAAAACCGACGAGTGGCTCAGTTGGTAGTTTGGTAAAGAAAAAAGTCTTATTCGATTTGAATGACAAAAAAAATGATGATACGACGATATCAGAAAATGATCAAGGAAAGAATCAAGTAAATAATGATTGGAAAGTATCAAGGTATTAAAGATTTTATATTGTAATATATATTTTTGTTCTTATATAATATTATTTTTTACATATATATTTGTATATTTAAGTATATTAATGTAATTAATTCTCATTATTTTTTTTAAGCTTTGCTGAAAAGGGAGAATATGCATTGCAGAAAGAGAAGTCTATGAGCACAAGCAACATTGTTTTGAAAACTTCGCAAAGCGATAAAATCGCAGAAATATCCAAGAAGATACAGGAACAGGTAAGATAATATTTTGTGTGCAATTATTTGATATATCTGTGTGATATATCATTGAAATGACATTGTTATAAATTATTTTTCCAGTTGAGTATATCAAAAAAGCCACCTGTAGGATCGGTTGAAACCATCTTTCGAGTCAATACAAGCTCACAGGATTTTATGAATTATAATGGAGGAAATCAATTGTTAAACTCGACCAGTCTCGTGAACTCCATCTTGGACAGTCCTATGCGGAATTTTACAAGTCCGAAGGCGAAAGGCAACATATTCCCACAACCTGCTCCGCGAACTCTGAAAGACAAAGATCCCGCTATTGTTCAACGTAAAAATGAAATAAAGTATTCTGATCTAGATTCAGATATCGATGAAATATTACAAATGGAATAAGGTGTACTGATTATATCTACGATGTAACTTTAAATTATTATTTCAATCTATACATCTTCCGCAGTGTGCTGCTCATATCATAAATGAGATATATATATACATATACATATGTGTGTATAGATATATATATATATAACTTATTACAGTATTTATGTAACTAGTAGTGTACAAATGTGTTTAGAAATGATTAAGTGTTATTTGATACGTTTTGATGCAAAAACTATGGATTTTTAGTATAAAATGCACGCGTGTATACCAAAAAGTCTTCTACATATCTGACGTGCAACTTGAAATACACATGTGTTATATAGATTGTTTTTAAAATACTTGGCCAAAACTTTATATTGCTAGTCGTATTGATAAAAAATATTATATATATTCAGATTATATAATATATTTATATATTTTAATTTATTTTATTATAGCTTATTGCGATCATTATTTTGAGAAGGACAATCAATCTCCTGCATTTTTAATATTTTTCTGCGTTGGAGTTTAGATACTGATAAATTTCTGTAACAGAAAAGTGTTATTTTTTGCGTTAACTAATATTTGTATAAATATAAACTTAATAACAATAACTCTCGAAAATGTCAAAAATAAAGATGGCTCGAAAGGAAGCCGTCTGACTTATCGTAATACGCAATAAATTTCTTTATCGCACAAATTGCCGCGAAAAAATACTCATTAGCCTTTTCTTTGTTTTTATCTTTGTATAAATGTCATATATTCACTCTCCGATCTTATCGATGATACTTTCAATCACGATGGGAATAGCCGTATGTTTAAAATGCTGCATTTCTGATAAGAATATTGATTTTCTGTAAGGAATATTTGTATATGATTCATGAATGAAGTTGATTAACGAGTCGAAAGCTTTTGTATAATCATCCATGAGCAGCTACAACACAATAATTCATATCAGATGTATGGTACTAGATGTAATTAAAATTAATTTAATATAGGAATGAATTTAATGAATTACCACTAAAGTAAAGAAGCCAGGATGGCTTTCGTGGTAGTCCAAGTACAATTTCCTACTTTTTATAACAAGCTCAATATATATATTTTTTAATGCTTTTGCTTTTTCTTCGTGCATTATCTCCTCTTGATGCTGTACATGAAAATTATATTTACACAGAATAAGAATAACAATAAGAGAATGTTGAAAAAAGTCATTCTATTGTGATGTTTCTTTTTTAAACTAAACTTATATTATCATTGTTTTTTTTGTTCAATGAAAGTACTTAATTTATCTTGAGTGCTCCACAGAGAATATATGTAAATTATATCTTATATTGTGTTAAAATAATAGAAGAAGTTTCTAAAATGAGATTAATCCCAGCAAATCAAAAATATGTAACATAGACGTATATATAATATTACACGAATGTCATTAATGTTAAACGTAATATTATTTGTACGATAAATGTATTATTTTAGCTTTATGTCAGCAACTTTGGAATGTATCGTTTATGTATCAAATATATTTCACTGATATATTACTGTAACCTAACGTAGATATATCCCAGAAAATAAAAAAGTTATGTATTGGTTTGTTGGGATAATCTTTCGCGAAATTCAAAGCGTATACAATGTCCATTATTTCTTCGGAAGATGTTGATTCGCTAAAATTATCGTTATCGAACTGGTCAAGCATGTCCATCATCAATATAGTTCGACGCTGCAACATCTTCGACCTATGTTTTTCACGTTTCGTCTCTTCATCATCGATAATGATATTCAATTCCTCGTCCAATAATACCTATATATTTACAATACTGATAATGCAAGATATTCAAATATCATTTGAAGTTACGCTTCATACTTTTAATTCTTCCGACGCCTGTTTTTTTTCTTCTGATGACAATCGATCAAACGATTTTATATCTTTTTCATTTTTTGTTTCTAACAATGTAATGTGTTTTTTTTTCTGTGGTGCTATTTCATCCCTTCGCAATACAACTTTCGGTAACATTGTCTTACTTTGCAATATTATATCAGTTGTAGCCCCGTTTCCTCGAGGTCTCATGGAGATGCCGTAAATTGAAAATACTAGACGGCTCATTATCTAATAACAAACATACATTTAGCAGAATTTCGCAGTATATTCCTAGTGAACATTTTTCTTAGAATTCTTCACGTAATTTTTCAGAATTTTTCACAATTTTTATATTATTTTAAAACTTTTTAGAACATTTTTCCAATTTTTATACGAATTTAAATACTTTTCAAAAATGCTCAGAAGGAATGTACATTAAAAATTTTTTATTTATATGAATTCTGAAATATTATGCTAAAGTTATTCATTGTATAATTTCTAAAAAATACTTATAAAATCTCAACAAATGTAAAAAGTATTTTTTAGAAATTTTCTTTTAAAATTAAAAATTAAAAAATTTTTTTTATTTTATATGAAAAACAAATTTTTTTAATATTATAAATTATGAAAATTTTTTTCATCAGAGATCGTATATTAAAATTAAACTTTAGTCGAACCTCATCCAAAATTTCTTCAATAAAGTTTAATATACAACTAGCAGTCTCTATTTCTTCTTCACGCTTGCCTATTTTAACAGCCAACAAATTTTCCACATTGTCTTTAATCCACGTGTAAACGTCAAATTTCTCTTGTATCCAATCTTTGTGAAGATCGATACTTTGTGTAAACACCAAGATCGCTTTCACATTCGGATATCGTTTAGAAATTTCGGTGACTGCGTATAAATTCATTTGAGTAAGTCCAATTTTGTGTTCAGATATCAATGGATTAATCTGATTTACATCTGTAAAAAGAATCATAGCTTCCAAATAGAATGAAAATTTTTCTAAGAATTTCTTGTAATTTTGTGTATAATATAACTTTTTAGAAAATATCTCAGATTTTTTAAACATTGGAATACTTTTTTTAAATATATTGAAAAAAATCTGCATCTTTAATTTTTGAAACTATATTTTATATATGAATTCTAAATTATTTTAAGATTTCTCATTTTAATTTCCAAAGAAAACTTATAAAATCTGAAGAAATTTAAAGTATTTTTTTCGAATTTTTCATAAATTTAAAATATAAAAAAAATTCTTAAAAATTATAATAAAATATGAGATTTTTTTAGGATTTACAAATATATGTATATATTACGTAACAGTATTTTCGTATAAATTAATATAAGTAATATTGCACTAACGAAATCCGTAACTATCGCCCAAAAGGTCCAGAATTACTAAAAATTCGCCGCGCCGAGCTATATCGTTAAACTCTTCCCTGTTTACAGGAATGTATGCTTTACGTTCGTCACCGTCTTCGCATATTTCCTTTGTAGTATGCCAATGACAATATTTTATCTGCAAAATTGTATCCTGCTATTTCTTTGAAATTGACTTTTAAGATAATTGAAAGGATATTGCAAAAAGGATTGCAAGGATTACTTTATCGGGAATTGTTTGAGCCACATGCAAAGCCAGTGTCATTTTCTTCAGCGCCGACGGTCCTGTGAGTATCATCAAAGGGGGGCTAATTTCATCATACGGTTGAACATGAGCGTTTATCTTGTTGATATTTAAGTGTTCTAGTAAAGTTAATTTTGCTACTTTACGGGCAGCTATCAAGTCCAATGGCGAGGCAAACAGCATAGCTGATGTCACCTGGAAGAAAATATTTACCAAGTAAAAATATTTATAAAAATAACGTATGCATAAATATCCATATATAATTATACATGAAATATGTCCATATATCATGTTTATGCATCTCTCGTTCTTTTGTAAAATTACTTTTTGATGTACTAAAAATAATAAGAATAATGAAACATCAAAAACATTTAAAGGGGTAATTTTCGCATTATTTGTTTTAGAAAAATTAAGTTTATAAAAATGTTAAAAAATTTGCATGTACACATAACTGTATAGTTTTATGTATAATTACATACATGAGCAATTCTTTTACATTTCTCCAAACTTGATTTTTTCTAAAACAAATAATGCGAAAATTTTTCTTTTAATTATTTTTAATGTTTTCTTATTATTATTATAAAAATTAATGATTAAATGTTATAATCAACTAGTTATAAGTAACAATAAGTTCCTAATTAAAAAAAAATTTTCATAATATTCCATAATATTAAAAAAATTAATCAATAATAAGATTTTATTCGGATCGACAAGAATTAAACGCTAAGTATAAGAATATTCAAGCCTATGACGGTCAAAGCTAGATCTTTTTTGCCTAAACAATTCCAAGTGAATTATCTATATCCTATATATGTACATGCATATATATCATATTTTTGTAGTTATTCAAACTGGTCTAATGGCTTAGATTGCTTAGAACGCTCGTACGGAGATTATAAGAGGTCCGGATTCAAGTCCCAGCCGAGGTAGTATTTTTCGCAATAAATTTATTTAAGATTTTTTTCAGCACATTGTCAATTTAATTTAACTTGTGATATTATTGCAGTAGTTTAATTGCGTTAAATAGAGTCCGGAAAAATTTCGGCGCGCAGTTTGAATAACTACAAAAATATGATATATATGCATGTACATATATAGGATATAGATAATTCACTGGGAATTGTTTAGGCAAAAAAGATCTAGCTTTGACCGTCATAGGCTTGAATATTCTTATACTTAGTGATTAAAAAAATTAATATTTTTAATTTATGAAGATTTCTGAAAAAAAATATCTTAAATTTCTTCAGATTTTATCAATTTTTTTCGGAATCTTAGAAAAGATGTAGGCTTTCTCAATACTTCTGAAAAGTGTTTTCTCTTTTTCATTTAGAAAAATGTTACCTTTTCTTCCGGAAAAACCTGAACGCCGTCAATAAATTTAACGCTTGATATAGAAGATATCAATACGTTTCGATAATTGGGCCACTTTGTGCAGGTGTTGCCTCTAAAGTCGACCTCAGATATTAAGCCCTTCAAATTCAATATCTCCATTAAGTCAGTGATTCTATTGAACTTTAGATCTACGAAGCGTAAGGTGTATGCATCCTAAAAATCATTTAATTAAAACAGGACTAGAAATACTTTGGCGTTCTTTTACGATGATCACTTTG